AAAATTTATATTTTTAATATAAATATTAAAGTTATAGTTTAATAATTATTTAATTACTATAAAGTCTCAATTATAAATACTTTCTGAATATAAGTATCCTCAGATTTTTATATTACTTGAAAGTAAGTATCTTTGACCAATACTATATATATCAAATATATAAATTTACCCAAATATAAGTATTTTTATAACAAAAAATGGTTGCTTATATTTGGGATTTTACAGTAATATAAAAATTTTATTTAATTATCAGATTTCTATAAAATTTAACTATTTAATTCCTTTTATTAAAATAAATTGAATAGTTATAAAATTATTTTTTTAGATTTAAACTAATATAGGTTAATATATTTATTTATAATAATAATTATTGATCAAAAATCTTATTCAATAATCAAATTTTAATAAAATTTATACCATTTAATTTCTTTATTAAAACTAATTAAATGGTAGTAAAATTATTTTTTTATATTCAATATTAATGAAAATTAATATATTTAAAAATAGGATTAATTTACATTTACCTCCAGTGAATTTCACCTTGATCTGCAAATTATTAAAATTTTTAATTTACCCCAGTAAAATTCACCAGGTGATTTTGTACTACATACTTTTTATACGTTAAAATATTTTTGTTTTAAAAATAGATTTTTTTATTTTTTTTACTTACTTTTTGCTAACTTCGTCTTCTTTAAATAACAATAATTTTAAATAGTTTCAAGAAATTTAAGGTAAGGTTTGCTTTCTTCTGTTTTATTGTTATTGTTTTTTTATTACTAAACAGTAGTTACAGTATTAATCAGTTTTTTATTCTTTTTATTCTCTATATCATTCCTTTTGCTTCCTCTTTGTTTTTATTATCACTTTCTTATTATTTTTACTTTGTTTCTTTTATACTTTATTATTACTTTTGCTCCTTCATTATCCCTTCATCCCTTTTACATTTTTTCATCATCATTATTGCTCCCTCATCATCTATTTCGTCCCTTTACATTATTTCATCATTATTTTTGCTCTCTCATCATCTATTTCGTCCCTTTACATTTTTTCATCATCATTTTCACTCCTTCATCATCTATTTTGTCTGTTTATGTTTTTTTATTATCATTTTCACTCCCCCATCATCTATTTTGTCTGTTTACATTATTTTATTATCATTTTCACTCCCTCATCATCTATTTCGTCTCTTTACGTTATTTCATTATTATTTTCACTCCCTCATCATCTATTTCATTCCTTTACATTTTTTTATCATCATTTTCACTCCTTCATCATTTATTTTGTCTGTTTACATTTTTTTATCATCATTTTCACTCCCTTATTATCTATTTTGTTTGTTTATATTTTTTCATCATTATTTTTACTCCCTCATCATCTATTTCATTTCTTTACATTACTTCATCATCATTTTCACTCCCTCATTATCTATTTTGTTTGTTTACATTTTTTTATCATCATTTTCACTTCTTTATTATCATCTATTTTGTCTATTTACATTGTTTATCATTATTTTCACTCCTTCATCATCTATTTCGTTCCTTTACATTTTTCATCATCATTTTCACTCCTTCATCATCTATTTTGTCTGTTTATATTTTTTTATTATCATTTTCACTCCCCATCATCTATTTTGTCTGTTTACATTATTTTATTATCATTTTCACTCCCTCATCATCTATTTCGTCTCTTTACGTTATTTCATCATTATTTTCACTTCCTCATCATCTATTTCATTCCTTTACATTTTTTTATCATCATTTTCACTCCTTCATCATTTATTTTGTCTGTTTACGTTTTTATCATCATTTTCACTCCCTCATTATCTATTTTGTTTGTTTACGTTTTTTCATCATTATTTTTACTCCCTCATTATTTATTTCATTTCTTTACGTTACTTCATCATCATTTTCACTCCCTCATTCTCTATTTTGTTTGTTTACATTTTTTTATCATCATTTTCACTTCTTCATCATCTATTTTGTCTGTTTACATTGTTTATCATTATTTTCACTCTTTCATCATATATTTTGTTCCTTTACATTTTTTCATCATTTTCACTTCCTCATCGTCTATTTTATTTGTTTACATTTTTTTATCATTATTTTCAATCCCTTATCATCTATTTTGTTTCTTTACATTTTTTCATCATTATTTTTACTCCCTCATCATCTATTTTGTTTGTTTATGTATTTTTATCATCATTTTCACTCTCTCATCATTTATTTTGTTTCTTTACATGTTTTCATTATATTTTTTTGTTCCTTTATCATTACTTTTGCTCTCTTATCATCATTTTCACTCTTTTTACATTTTTATCATTATTTTCATTCTTTTATCACTACCTTCACTCCTTCATTATCTATACAAGTTTATTAAATCATTTGATTATTTAACAATTAGTACCAATAATGTAATATACTGTATATATGCATTGCGTTATAATTAGAGATGTTAAAAATTAAAAATTGTACTTTATTTAAAAATGAATTTAATAAAAATAATTATAAATCACATTATCTGGTAAAAATCACTTCTGGTGAGCGTTAAAATGATCTTTAAAAATAATATATAAATTATTTTTTTATATTTATTTATATAATAATTATTGATTGTAAAAACTGTAACTAGTAATTAGAATTTAATGAATTTATACCATTTTATTCCTTTCATTAAAATAAATTGAATGGTAGTAAAATGATTTTTTTAATTTTAATATTGATAGAGATTAATATGTTTAAAAATTATATCTATTAAAATTAAATTTAATTAAATTATTTAATTAAAATAAAACAATAAATAGCAAAAAAAGTTTGTAAAAATTCTAAATATTAAAGCTAAATTTTAAATTAATTTATCAAACTAAAATATAACTTATATATAAATCAATTATTAATTTTAATATTTTTATTAAATAACCTTTTTTGTATTTGAAAAATTAAAAAATTTTTAATATAGCTTTATTAATTAAAAATAATACAAATAAAAGCTTAACTTATAATCTATTTAATTTGAATCTTAAATATTAAAAATATGATATAATATTATTATTTTGATTTAAGTAATTATTTCAATTTTTTTTTATTATAAACAGTTAATTAAATATAAAGTCTATATTAATGAATTTTATTATATTTATAACAAATATGTTTAGTATTTTTTATTTAAACTATTTTTTAATAATAATAAATAACCAAATGAATTTAAAAAGTAAAAAATAAAATAAAATTATATTTTTATCTAATAATTTTACCTTTTAAATCTAATAAAAAGTAAATTAATCATTTTGTTAATCCAAAAAAAATTAAAAAAAAATTTTGAAAAAATTGTATCTTCAGCTTTTTAATATTACCCATTATATAATACTATATAACCTGATTTTAATTAATGTAATCAACCATTCTTCCATATAGCCAGATCCAGAACTATAGATCATTAAACCTAAATAACTAATTATACTTTATTACTAAAAGTTTTACATTGAGATATTAGCTTTAAAAATATTTTGCAAGTTGCAACCAAATGAAATTTTGTAGAAAACATGCAACTGTAGAAATTTCTACTGCCTCAAGCAAGATATTTTTAAAGAGGATTATTTCACCCAACTTTAAGGTATTCTTTTGTTACCATTTCTTTTGCTAGTTTACTTTTGATATCATGAGCAAAGTAAGCTGTATTTAATGATAAAGTAATTTTACTTTAATTTAATGAAATCAACATATGAAATCAATCAAAGAATTTATTGGAATCAGACAAAAATACCATAAGATTAATCATTTATATCATTTATTATTTGTAATTTTTTCTAATCCAAGAGTTTGTAAACAAAAAAGTGTTATTAGTAAAATTGTAACGAAGGACTACATAATTCTACGCAAGTACCTTCCCGGAACATGACCTTAAACAGCACTTCGGACTCAATAACGGTTTCCTTTCTTAGTGGTAGGAAAAAAAGCATAAAATTATTAACATAAATTACTATAAATTTCTATAAATTATTTAAATTATTTCAAACATTTTCAAACGAGGGTAATATTCAGGGGCCAGCATTTAATTATGCTAATTATAGATCAGCGACGATCCAATTTCAAAATGCACTTTACTCGAATAAATTCGAATAATTGAATTTAAAATGTCTTAGATTTAATTCAGATAAATATGATTCCTTGACCCTGATTCATTAGAAATTTATTTTGTGAAAAAATTAATTGAAATCAACCAACGAACTTGCCTATCGAAACGTCAATCATATTCAAATTCATCATCTCAAAGATGTATGTTATTAAGTTCATGCATAAAAAATAGGGAAAAGTTTCGAAGATCTCATTTGGGGTAACCAAGTTTCATTAATGTAAAGAAATTAATCATATAAATATACGGTTAAAAAAATGTATTTCAATCCCAAAAAAGTTTTTTTTCTAGTTCTAATCGATCCAAAAAAAAAAAACTTTTTTTATTTTTTTTAATTTTTTAATTTGAAACGTAATTTTTTTTAAGCACGCAAAAATGAAGTTTAATATTTTCATAATCCTTACATATGTGATAGCTTCGGTACATTGTGAAGAAATTTTTAACTCAACACCATTTATCACCTCAAAAGATACACAATATGGTCCATCAATTGAAGGAGCTTCAGTTAATAAACTTGGGGAAGCATTTGCAACAGATTTTGCTAATTCAACTACCAAAATTGGACAAATCTCACCAAAACAAAAACTATATTCTGCTTCTCCAATAGTGACAACAAATTTCAATGGTATTAGATTTTTACGTTTAAGTAAAAAAGAAATTGATATGGGTATAAAAAATATAGCATTAGTTGCAAACAAAGATGGGGATGTAACAAAAGTTACAGAAATGAATGATGGAACTACCAAACAAGAAATTTTTTGTAAAGATGATACTTTTGTTATACCCAATGATTTGGCCCTCTCTGAAACTGGTCGTATATATATATCCGGGCAAAATTTTACCGAGAATACTGTAATTGGGGATGGCGGTCTTTGGATTTGTCAACCTGATGGAAGAGCAACCCAACTTATGAAATTTGGGAGGACTAACGGTATTGAACTCTCACCTGATGAAAAAACATTATACTTATCAGAAGCCTTTAATATAGGTTTTACTCCAGTTTCAAATAAAATTTGGAAATTCAAGGTTGACCATAGGACTGGAATGGTTTCTTCACAAGAACTTTTCGTGGACTTTGCAATACTTGATGGTACTCAATCAGTTGATGTTGATGGTATGCGCACTGATATTGAAGGAAATCTTTACGTAACAAGAAATGGTGGACAAGAAGTAGTAGTATTCTCTCCAAATAAAGTAGTTTTGTCAAGGATTAAATTAAATATAAAAAGTGCTGCTAATCTGGAATTGGCTGGAGACCAAGGTAAAACTATGTTTATTGTCGGAAAATGTTTAGATGATGAAACTAAAGGTTGTGTAGATAAATTCGAAAATAACATCCCCGGTAAAGCATTCACATTACTTAACCGTTAAATTCGTTAAATTCGTTAAATTCGTTAAATTCAGACTAATAGATTATATGCTTCATATAAGATAATATAATGTATTTAATATGATACATTCAATAGAAGACATTTTCGCTAATTTTAATAGTGGATAATTATTTAATTATCTAATAAGTTAAATATTTAATATAACATAGAGAAATGTAACATTTTGGGTTGTGACAGGTTGTTTTTGTACCAATACAATTTTAATAACACGAATAAAATTAAAATTATTTAATATAAAAAAAACCAAATAATAAAACGTAAATTATAATGCCAGGTAACAATGTTTCATAGGTAAGATCAAGTAAAATTTTTTGAATAGCTAGCCAATCCCGATGAAGAAACCATTTTAGTACTTGGTTAAAATAAATTAGACTAACCTGATTATACAAATGTGCAATAATATGCTAGTATTTTTTTATATTCACGAAGAATCAGGGTTCATATAATTAAAAATAGTGAGAATTATAAATTGTTAATACAGTATTTATTATAGCAAGTAATAATTTGTATTTTATATTTCATTTTAATAAATTCAAACAGCCCTTACATACTGCTTGAAAGAATATGATAAATTGTAAAAGATAATTGTTTTAATGAAAGTAAAAAGTTAGGCAAAAGTAAGCAAATAAAATCAAAAGCAAATGTAAAAGTGATTAATATTGTTACATTTCAACACACAAAAAAAAGTAAAGAATTTCTGCCAAATTAAAATGATTAAATTGAATCGGGAATAAAATTAATATTCGTCGAATAAATTCGAATAAATGTTTGTTGTTTGAAAAAAAGAAAGAAAAATAAAAGAAAGCTAATAATATCAGATCACGGATCATGATTCATTCTCAAATTATTTATTTGATGCCGTAACTTCGCCCATCATTTCTCTATCTTGAGTTTTAATGTTATCATCTAATGCTTCAATATTACTATCTTTGACATCCAAGTTTTTCTCTTCGTTCGAATTAGTGGATTGTGAAGTACTTTTATTCGTGGAGTCATCCAAACCTTTTGGAGTAATAGATTGGGAAGTACATTTATTCGTGAAGTCATCCAAACCTTTCGAATTAATAGATTGGGGAGTACTTTTATCTTTAGAGTCATCCAAACCTTTTGAAGTAATAGATTGGGAAGTACATTTATTCGTGGAGTCATCCAAACCTTTTGAAGTAATAGATTGGGAAGTACATTTATTCGTGGAGTCATCCAAATCTTTCGAATTAATAGATTGGGGAGTACTTTTTTCTGTGGAGTCATCCAAATCTTCTTCACTGCTAGGATTTGATTCATTAATTTTCTTGATTGATGTAAGAGTTATAAGTTCGGCAATAGTTTTTGATAACCATTCTTTAGCATTGATTTCGATAATATTATTATTTTCAATTTGCGAACCATTTATAATTCCATGAGATCTTGCAACAGCACAAGCAACATCAGGTTGTTGTTTAATAAATTCTTCGATAGCCATTTCAGCCACTGATTCTTTTGCGAGATCTTTGGTGGGCTTAAAAGCACCAAAAGTTCTTTTTAAAATTGGTACACGAAGAATAGCACAACATTTATCACTTTTTGACCAAACACGAAGAAAATATTCAGTATTAATATATTTACTTATTGAAATGAAAAAGTTTAAAAGATAAAGATCTGAAGGAATTTCCTTTTCTTTTTCTTCTTCTTGTTGTTTTTGTTGTTGATGTTGTTGATGTTGATGTTGTTTTGGTTGTTGGTGTTGTTGTTGTTGTTGATTTTGTTGTTGTTGTTGTTGTTGTTGCTGTTGTTGTTGCTGTTGTTGTTGATTTTGTTGTTGATTTTGTTGATATCGACGATGTTTACTCCTATTCCTACTTCTTTGATTACGTCTTTTCTTCTTTTCTTCTTTTTCAGTTTCATGTAATTCGGGTGAGAGAACGTTTTCATGATGATCTTGATCATTATTTGAAGGTACAAGTTGTGATTGTGATGATGGTTGTGGTTGTGATTGTGGTGGTAGTGGTGGTGGCGGTTCTTCTCTTTGTTGATGATCGGAAGATTGCGGTAATATAGGAAGTTGATGTAATATTGACACATTTTGTTGCGGAATTATATTGAAATGATTTCTATAAGCTTAATAATAATAATAATAAATAAATAAATAATGTTAAAAAAAGAAATCAAGTTTAAAAAAAAAAAATACATGAACTATTTTAATAAGGTTTCATAATGATTACAATAATATAGATTAGGATAATATGAAGAATTCCGATTTGAATTTTGAAAGTTTAATCTTGAATGATCACCGATGGATGTAGAAGAAGAAATAGGACGCGTCACTGTTAAAGTTGTCGTAGATGAAGGTATTACCGGTCTATTATAAGTATATCTATTATCATTATTATTGTTGTTTGTTGTGATTAAAGATGAACGAGAAGATGAATTATATCTATTATCATTATTATTGTTGTTTGTTGTGGTTAATGATGAATGAGATGATGATGTATATCTATCATCATTTGTTGTGTTTAAAGAAGGACGAGGAGATGATGTATAAAAGGAAAAAGGATGAGGAGAATATGTAGATGATGATGAAGAGGAAGAAGAAAAATTTGAAGGGGTAGTGACATATCGTGACGAAGATGATAAATTATTTTGTGTAATAATATCATCATCATTAATACTATTATTATTAGTTGTCACAATATCAGAATTATTTGAAGCGAAAGAATATCTCGAAGAAGAACGTCTTGAAGGGGTAAAATTTTGAATACGTTGATCATAAGAAGGAATATTATTGGACATGTTGTTTTGATATGAAGTAGGAACGAAACGATGTCTTCTTGGAGTAAAACGACGAGAAGGATTATTATTATTATAATTATAATTATAATAATAATTATTATTATTATGATTATTATTATTATTACTATTATTAAGATTAAATCTTGCTGTAGTGGAATTAGTGGAATTACGATTATAAATTGGTGGTAAACTAATTGTAGATGGTGACTGATAATGACGTGCAGAGTTTCTTGAAATGTTGTTTATTAATGGTCGTTGTTGTGGTTGAGGTTGAAGTGCACTATCATCGAACGTCTTTGGAGCCATTCTTTATCCTAATTTTTTTTTTTTTTTTTTTTTTTTTTTTTTTTTTTTTTTTTTTTTTTTTTTTTTTTTTTTTTTTTTTAAAAAAAAAAAATTGTTAAAATAAGTGAAAAATAAGTAAAAAAAAGTAATATTTAAAAAACAAACTTTTTTTTTGACTGCGGCTGATACAAATAGAAGAAAGAAATTCTTTAAAAAGCTTTAAAGCTTAAAAATTTGGTTTATTTATTATATATATATATATATAAAGTATATAATTATATAAAATTTAAGGGATTAAAAAAAAAAATAAAAAATTGTTTAGTTAAATTGTTAACAAATTTTATTTATTTTTTTTTAATGCATCATTTAAATCATTTTTAAATCATTTTTAAATCATTTTTTTTAAATGTTTTTAAATCAAACATAAAAAAAAAAAATAGTATCTCTTTGACGAATAATAATAAAATTTTTTGATCAAATTTTTTTTTAGATTGAAATAAAAATTTGAGATTTAATGAAATTTAATGAAATCGATTTTTATTTTTTATTTTTTGATTTTTTGATTTTTTATTTTTTATGTTTTAAAGTCAAAAAAAAAAAAAAAGGAGAGAAATTACTTATTTTGATCCATACTATAATTGAACTGAAATAATTAGTACATCGATTTCTTGAAGTGTTGAAGAATGACATGATTTGCTGACCAATAGACCCAATGAACCACAGAAAAAAGAAACCGATTATCACGTGGTAAATATAATTGCAGAAAAATTATACAAAGTAGGATAATTATAAAACAAAAATGAATGAAAAAAAAATAATTGATTCATTTCCTTCTAAAGTTATTAAAATCTTTTTATTAAATCCTTTTTATTTGAGATTCATAAAATTTAAAACAATATGAAGAATAAATTTGTGATACCAAAGACAACCATAACGTGGGCCTAATAATGGCCCAATAATGCGGGCCAGTATTATAATTTAACATTATTAGGATGATTAAGAGAAGCAGCAATAAATTTCGTATGACGTCCCATAGCAATTATTTTACCGTCAATTTTATTCTTTAAATCTACTGTAGTATAAGCAAGTGTTTTACCAAGTTTAACACATTCGGAGTCCTAAATAAAAAAAAAAATACAATTATAAACTTAATAAAATCTCCGAAAAAAATAATTCAAAAAAAGGAAAAAAATGACAATGTAACGTTAAAGAATATGTACCATGATTATTATATCTCCTTCTTTGGCAGAATTTAAAAAAGTAATATTTAAATCTGTGCTAACACCTGTAGTGTACATCCCTTTTGTAGATAATGCCATTGAACCCCCTATATCAACTAATGTTGAAAGAAAACCACCGTGTACGATACCTAATCGGTTCTTAAAAAGAATATATTATTAAAATCTGATTAAAAGTATAATGAAAAAAAGAAAATAATAATTTTTTTTATTACCAAATGTATTTTTTCCACGGGTAATTCACAAGTAATTTTTCCATCAGCTACATCCGTAATCGTCATCTTAAATTACCAAAAAGAAAGAAAAAGAACCAATTCATGTTTATATAATAATGAAAATATATCTAATAATGAAGAGTTATCGTTACCTTTCCCATAAGTAATTTATCAAATCCATCAGTTGCCATAAAATTTTGCAATACTTTACGAGCAAAAGCTAATCTAGAAGGTATTGACATTTCGCTGTAACCTAAAAATTAAAAAAAACCTCCGTCAATTATGTTAAACAAAATTTTGAGTTTAATAATTGTTATCACACAATTGGTATGAGAACGATGATTGTTTAATATATAATTGAATAATACGGAATATTATTTTTAAACAATGGGTATCGTGAAAGATGCATTACTAACTTATTTGTTTATATTTTTTTTTTTTGTTTTTTAACCGAAAATAATAAATTTTAAAATTTTTTTTAAAATTTTTTTTTTTTTTCTTTGAAAAGACTTATCGGAATCCATTCAATCAAGATGTGGTGTTACTGGTGTATCGTAACATGTTACGTTTCTTACGTAACTTTTTTTAAGGTTTGAATTCGTTCGAAACACAACATTTCAATGATCCGCATGTGACCAAAATTTCTTGTTTAAAAAGAAACAAAATTAGAATGTCTATCAACAAGAAAAAGGTAAGATCAATAGTAATTAAATAACCTTATTAATACTTTGAATATATCCCTAAAAAGATAACATAGATTTTCCCCCTCTCCTCTCCCCCTTTTTTTTTCTCACAACTCCCATGTTTTTTTAGCCCAACCCGCTTATAAATCTTAAATTAGGGCGGCGTCAGCTTAAAGCGAAGCCAGACAACCACCCATTTATAACCTAAAAATTATGTGCGCAAAATCTCTGGATGACGATTCTGCATGGACATTCAAGTCCATGTGGCATAATGAAAGTAGCCACACACCCTTTTATTGAACCAAATGTCGGATTGTGTAATTACTTATACTAATCGACGAAATTGTGGGACTGATTTGATACATACCTGATGCGGCGCAGGATCTTTACCAATTCTAGTAGTGAGAGATCTAGTATTACTAATATGCATAAATTATATATAAATTTTTTTTTTTTTTTAAAAAAAATAAATCCCTTTTTATTATCATTATGAGAAAAAAAAAATTTAAATGTATTTATAATGTACTGATGGAGGGATATAATGATCTTTACGTGTGTTTAATTTAATATTTACCAAATTAGCCAATGATATGTATTATTTGGTTAATAATTGACTCACACATTTGGGGAGGTCAAAAAAAAAAAAAAGTAGGGCTAATAAACTCCTAAAAATTTAAAAGTCACATACTAATTTGATTATTTCAATAACGATTTTTTTGTGTTATTCGTGTTACTACAAAGACATGAAAATCACCTGCAAATTTAAAATATATTTCACGAAGGTAACATTTTTTAAGTTTCGAGACTCAGTGAAAGGTTATTCGTTATTCGTTATTTTAAATTCATTTAATAATAATGTAATAAAGTAGTTTATTAAAATACAATAGGCTCAAAGTAAACTATTGTTATCAAACGTTATCTACAAATTAATTTAATTTATGATTTACATATTAGAACAATATTCATAATTTTGAAAAGATTGAATATTTGGGAATGATAATTGGATGATATTCAGGTGGTCATTTAAAAAAATTTATCGCCAGCTTTTTAGAAACCTGTTTATAAAATAGGAGAATAAATAAATTACAACGTTAGTTATTTATTATTGTAAATATTTATACTTTTAAGTAATTATATTGTTTTTGATCCTTTTTCTTTAAAAAAAAAGTAAATATAAAAAAAATATGGACCAATAATTTAATCAATTTAACAACAGAAAGAAATAATATTCTTTTCATGGATTTTTTTTTTTTTTTTTAAATGATCATTTAAAAAATATGATGAACCACGAGACTAAATTAAATATTTACATTCATTAACCAATCAAATGATTGTAATTCGGACGTAAAATCTTGGCAGAAATTTTCCTAATCGGAAAATAAAAACTTAATATCAAGACTTTAAGGGTTTATTAGGGTTTATTCAAAAAACCTGAAAGAATCCGGTTGTGTTTCGGAAAAATTTCCGATTAGGGGTAACATTTTTACCGGAAGTTACCGTAAAAAAAACTAAGAACCGAGACTTTTACTTGTAAAGGTATTTGAAATTCCGAAAAAGTTAAAATTAGGTAAAGTTGAAATAAAGTAATTAAAGTAAGTAAAATTGAGTTAAAATTAAGGTAAAATTAAGTGTCAGAAAAAAAGAGTTAATTAATTATGACTTTAATAAATTATATAAATTATAAAATAATAATCGACATGATTATCCTTGTTCATCTTTTGAAGTCTTTTCTTGGAAATTTCATATAAACTCATATAAACTGTAATTCCTAATAATTTACGACGTACATATAGCTTAATTATAATATTTATAAATTAACAAGAAAGTAGAACAAATGTTAAACGTGAGTTGACAGGTATACATACGTAAGTACATACTGTATACGTTGTATACGTATGTATATTAGTATGTAAATTATATATTTAATATATATATTAAATTATGTATACATTTACAATATATACATTTAGTATTTTACTATAAATCATTTATTTACTATTTATTTATTTCAACTTTCATGTTTAGCTTCGATCATCTTTTTGTCGTACCCAAAAATATAAAATATTTTAAATAAGATTGACAATTGTGATTTTGTGATATCCAAAATTTTCTCCAAATCCCCAATCGAAAAATTTATCACAAAAATTTACTAAATATTTTTTATTACACAGACCAAAATTGGCAAAACGGACCAAAATTGGCAACACAATGATAGAGAAAACAATGTCACCATATTTGACTAGATTTATTTTTTTTGATTACCATTTTAATAACATTTTCATTTGTATACAATTTTTATATACGTAATAAAAAGTAGGTAATTTAATGTAATTAAAGTGGGATCTGTTATTGCATTTTATTAATTTTTAAAAAGCAAAGCAGCAAAAAAAAAAAAAAATATAATTTTTTTTCTCCACAATTTTCAAACACGCGGCACAAATTTTCGTGTATTGTTGACAGAAATTTCAACCAATCATAATAAAAATTGGCTGATACAATTAAATAATAACCCTTTCAAAATTACACGACAGAAATCCTTTTGCATCACAAATATTTTGATTTAAATCATCATCATCATCAGTAGAATGATTAAAATAATATGCGTAAATATGTATTCATAACAAAGGCTTACTTTTATGATAAAAAATTCATGAAACAAACAAGAAACGTTTAAATTCTTAATAATTTAGGTTGCTTCCATTTTCTTTTTTTTTTTCTCCTGTGAAAAAAAAAAAAAAAAAATTCTTGCTGCATTGAAAGAAAATCGGCTGTACATAAATAATGATACGTACGAACTCCCCTTTATTTTCCATTTATGTGAGGTTTGAAATATTTGTCCTATGGATCTCCAGCATGCCAGAATGTCATATGATCAGTCTTTGAAAAGATTCTTATTCTTCTGATACATAGAAATTTCCCAGGACAGCATTATAACAAACAATTTCATAACATCCATTTTATTTCATTTTAATCCTTCTTTAATTCTTCTTTGATAATCAAAATTATCCGTTTTTCTTAAATAATTAAATCTAAGAAATCTAAGAGCATCTATTCTAAATTTCGCACGTGCATATAGCCAAATTAAGGGTCATTGGTTTATAAAAATCAGGTTTTTATTCGGGCAGAATTATCAGGATAATTATTATTTATTATTATTTAATTAACAACGAATTATTAATACAAAATTATTATTTATTACTAAAACGTTACAAGGAAAAAAGAACCTGTTAGAAATGTATAATTGATGCATATTAATGCAATTTAAGTGTTACAAAATAACCAACAACCTGCAGATTCTGCAGTCTATTTATAATTACGTAGTTTATCTAATTACGCATAACTGCATAACTTGCGCCTTTTTGTTTATGGCGGGAGTTCGGGTTTTTTAAAGTTGAGGTTTCAAAAAATTTTCTGTAATCACAAAAAAAAAAAAATAAAAATAAAAAATACTTTTTTTTACTTTTTTGATGTATTATAGAAATTTTTTAACAAAATAATTTCAAAAAATGATCATCTTATATAAAATACTTGTATTTAATTTATTTAATAACAATAATTATAATAACAGATATCATAATTATATTTAATATATTTAATATATTTATTAATAAAAATTAATAATAATAATAATAATTACATAATTACACTCATTCATATACGCATATATGGAATATAAATTATTTATCATGTGTGATAATTTCTCTATTTTCAGTATTTCATTTAATAATTCATATATACCTAATTATATATATAATATAATACATAATTTATAATTATACTGTATATATAAAAAGAGATGTACCGTCACACACAAAAGGGAAAATTTTTGATTTTCAACTTCAACTATGCCTTAATCTTTTTTAGGTCTGGTATTTTGGAACACAAACAAAAAAAAAAAAAAAAAAAA